TGTCGTCAGCGAACTTGCTGGTACACTCTGTCCCCTCATCCAAGTCATTGATGAACAAGTTGAACAAGACCAGGCCGAGTACTGAGCCCTGGGGAACTCCACTAGCTACCGGCCTCCAACCAGACTATGCACCGCTGATCAGAACCCTCTCAGCCCTGTTGGTCAGCCAGTTCCCAATCCACCTCACTGTCCACTCACCCAACCCACACTTCTGAGCTTCCCATGAGAATGTTACTGGAGACAGTGTCAAAAGCCTTACTGAAGTCAAGGTAGACAACATCCACTACTCTCCCCTCATCTACCCAGCCAGTCATGCCATCATAGAAGACTATCAGATTGGTTAGGCATGATTTCCCCTTGGTGAATCCATGGTGGGTACTCCTGATCACCTTCTTTTCCTCCACTTGCTTGGAGAGGACACCCAGAATGAGTTGTTCCATCACCTTTCCGGGGATGGAGGTGAGACTAACTGGCCTTGGTCCCCTGACTCCTCGTAGCTTGGGTTTGCCTTGGGTGCGTAAGTAGCAGAGGGAATCTGAAAACCTTCCCGCACGAGGCACCTAGGGTGGAAGAAGATTTTTTTTAAAGTGTTGCAATCCTTTCCCTCAATTAACATGGCTTGGGGGGTGGCTGGGTTCCATTTGGGAGCAAAAGAGCACTGGAAACGCTGGAGCTTACTGGAATGGAGAAGGACATCGGTGACCTGGAGCCCGATCCAACCGGAGCAGGTGAGGAACAGTTGCTTCTGGCTTTTTTAGCCTCTTGCAGTGACATGGCCTCTTCCTAACTTGACAGGATCCAGAGCATTGACTGTTCGGTCCATTTTACTCAAGTTTCTAAACCTGAGCGGGTGGGTTTCCCAGTCTCTCTTGAGGGAAGCAGCAGCGATCGGCTGCCCTGGTCTGGGCTCCTGGTCCCCCTTTTGAAAGCAGAAAACGGTGAAAATGAAACCGTGGGTGAAAACAGCAGCTTTTCTGTTCCTGCAGATCTGTGGTGTTTTGCCTAATAATAAACCTTGTTCAGGTAAGGGCTGGGAAGTGAAGGAGACATGGTTTTCAAGATCCTCAAAATTGCATGGCCTCACGGGATCTTGGCAGGACTTGGGGTTTTGGGGGGGGTGGTGTTTCTGCCATTAGGTCAAGGCTCACTCCATTACAGATATATTTACGAATCCATCCTGTCTGTGTAGAAACAGGCCCGATTTCTGTCAGGTTACATTCATTTGTTACTACATTTCCAATGCAAATAAGAGAGTGACAAAAAATGGCTTTGAGGGTGAGAATTGCAGCGAGACGCTGCAGCGGTGCGAGCATTTGCATAGGGAACGTTTCTCATAACTCATTTGCCTGACATCCTGTCTCCGCACTGCCGCGAAATGTAAATCCCAGCGCATGCATATTCATCAGCTGCTGCACAGCTCCCAGCTGCCCAGGGTTTAAGTACCTTTATTAAAGAGCTTTCTCAATTACAGGTTGAGACAAGTGAATTTCCAGAATCGCCTCGGGCTACATTTCTTAAAGCTCAGGAGCGAGGGGGGGGAAATAACGCAGAAGAGCGGAGTGCAGCCGCTGCTGTCACCCTCCTGGGGGTGGCTGTGGAAAAACCTGTAGGAGGGGCAGAAGCTGGAAATGGGAATGTTTTCTTGCATAGCCCTTCTGCTTGCTCGTCCTGCTCCATGGTTTAGCACAGCCGGTGAGGCTTTTGCAAAGTCTTTGCTGCTCCCCACGACTCTTCTGATGTGACGATGGGGTCTGGGGGGACGTGGGTTTTCCCACTGCTCCGCTTTCCCTTGGTCCACAGGCCATAATTTTCTGCTTTTCACTGGAACTGGTGGCCTTATCACCATTCACCCTTTGCAGTCCTCTCTCTTTCCCGTAGCAGGTGATGAGTTAGCTTGAAAATAGAAAAAACCTTCGAGAGCTGGAGAAAAGTTTGTGCCTGAAAGCTCCTCTGTCTTTTCCAGCTGCTTTCTGCTGGTTTGCTGAACCTCCGAGGTCCCTCCGAGCCTTGCCTGCTGGCATCCCCGCACTCTTTAGCTGTGCTAGCGCTGTGTTTGCTGTTCACACCGTGCAAAAGTCCAGCAGAATATAGGCCTAGAGAAATGAGCCGTGTAAGGGAACCAACTTCTTGGCTGCTGGATGCACTTGGACTTCACAGCTTCTTGTGTGAACACGCTGCTGCCGAAGCGTGTGGTGCTTGGTGCTGGCACACGCCGGGAGCATTTCAGGGCTTTGGCACTTCACGGCAGTGATGCGGACCGGGGCTCCTCAGGGACATCTCGGATACGAAGAGCTGAGGTCTGCATGGGGCGGGAGGGAGTAAGCCGGTTCATGGAAGCAGCCACACCAAGGTAGATTTAACCACAGAGGCTGGGTGGTAAGGCTTTGCCTTTGGGAAGTGAGCAGGCACACCTTGGGTTGGAAGAGAAAATGAAGGTGGGTGGGAGGGAAGGGGGGAC